TAATTTCAGGTGGACAGCAAAGTGATTCAGTTACACATTCGCATATATCCATTCTTTTTCAGGTTCTTTTCCCATATAGGTTATTACAGAATATTGACTAGAGTTCCATATGCTATACAGTAGGTTCCTATTGATTATCTATTTTATATTTTATAGAGTGTATATGTTAATCCCAAACTCCTAATTTATACCCCCCCCCACCTTTCCCCTTTGGGTTTGGTTTTCACTTTGAATTGTGATCCACCCCTACATTATCCAAATGTGTTTTTAAGGTTCATGAAATAAATCACATTTGCATCCCATATAGAGCTTAAAAGAGGTGATTCTATGAATGATAAAGACTTCAGTATTAGCTAGCAAGGGGAGACATTGGTAGAAGGTACATAAAAACCATATGCACATGTAACAGTTCATTTTTTATACGATGATTTACTGTTTTAAGTTATTTTTGACACAAAGCTGGACAATATGCTATAAAAATCTCCAGTGCTGAAAAGTGTGAGAGGCAACAAGCTTCCAAAAAAAATGAGAGAGGGGATTTAGTTTTCACACTGGCATTGGTTCCAATTACAATTAATCAGCTTCAGTAAATTTGGTGTTTGCTGTCAATGTATTCACACAATTATTTTTATTTTCCTATTTTCTACTCTTTCAGAATGTGTACATGGAATGAATCCATCTAGAGACGTTCACGGTATGTTAGATTCCAAATTATATTCTTTACATGCATATTCATATATGCATATATATTACATTTTATCCATGTATCTCTATTAACCCCAATAATCAAGACTTTTTTTTGCTGATTCAGAAATATTTAAAAGCTGTTTTCCATAGTATAAATGTCAAACATATAAAACATTCCAATGAAACCTTAAATGATACCCTCGGTTCTACAGCGTTTACCACAGGTGCATTGTGCTGTTATTAAATGACTATATATGACTCTCTCTCTAAAAAAAAAAAAAAAGCTTGGCTTCTATGTGTTATAACCTTGTTTATTACTTTTGCTATAGCAGTGCTAATGCAAAATTTTTATGAGCAAAATGCTTACTAAGCATCCCTAATTTTTAAAAAGATTAATTTAAATTCTTTCTCAGTTTGTTACTTGTGAGTTACAAATTGATTTACAAAGTTCGTGAAATAGTCATATTATCAACCACAGGATCCCATAGAAACGTTCACACAGAGGAAGGATGTAGTAAAAACGAAGGAATCTGGTCCCCCAAAGTAATTATATTTCAAAAGTGAAATCATCTCAAATCCACTGGGAGAAAGGGATGTTTAATTATTTAAATTTCAATGCTGAAAACCGGACAATGTGTATTATACATACATTTACATGTATGTTAGTCTCCATCAAAATTGTTCTCATTCCCTGTGCTATTAGAACCAACTAATGTGGTCCACCTCTAGCAAAATACATTCTCTGATTTTTATTTTCATTAAAATGGCCACTGAAAACAGAAATAATTCTTTGAGAAATGTTACATTTTTAGGAATGTAATTTTAGAAATATATTACAGAGGGGATTTTAAGAGAATGGTTGAGATTCTTATTTTTGCAAGCGTTTTGAAAGAGTAAAAAATGTGTAATATTTAACTGCTTTCTGAGACCCCCCCCCCCATCATTATATATTTACCTAAAGTTGTAGGGGGTAAAAAAGTCAATAAGCTGTTTTCCAGTGAAATTGTTTTATTTTCCCCTTCCAGCTAAGCAAATACTGATTTTTCAATTCACTGTGAAAACTCACATTTCATTCAATCAACTAGGAGCCTTTTGGAAATTTCCCCCATGCAGCAAATTTGGAAGAATCTGTCACACAGCATCCATCCGCCCAACATACTGCTTCGCTGTAAATTCTGTATTGCATTATGACAAAAGCAAATATTAGTATTATTCCAGGGGAACACGACACGAGTGTATACAGAAATGGTTCCTTTCCTTTTCTCTTAGAAAAGCAAGGGAAGGGAGATGCTACATCGCCGCTTAAATGAGCGCTCCTGGCGGAAAATGAGTACATGGTGTTACTCAACTCCAGACGCTCTATGTACAAAGCCCTTTAGATTAAGGGGTTCGCAATACCCACTTAGTTGAGTCCCAGGCTGCCAGCTTTCCATTTATTTTAGTTCCTCGATAAGGAAGGGCGGTGTGTTTTGTTGCTGGTTTGCAAAGCGTGCACCCCGTTAGCGCAGTTACAGCCTGTGCACGGTCCTGAGAACCCCCAATGCCCGGCGGCCCCACTCAAATAAAATCAGCAGCAGCTTTCCTTGCTGCCACCGTCGTTGTCGGAGTTCGAACTTGGGATTTACTGGTTGAGATTCTGAGCTGGGCAGCGTCTGAACCGGGTGCATCTATCGCTAAGCCTTTTCTCTTACTAAGGAAACCTGATCCCCACTGGAAGACCGCGTTGCGTGGGGCGTCCGCGGCCCCTCGCAGGGTTGAGGGTTTAAGGCAAACGGTCACAGCCCCAGAGGAGCTTTCTCTGAGCTTTCCGAGCAAGCGGCTTACCCCCCACCCCTCGACCACTACATCCTCCGAGGCAGAGCCCATTTTTGCCTCCACCACACTCTTAAGAGTCCCCCAGCCCCGGTCCTCGGGGGTCTATGGGGATGCACTTGATCGGCTCCTGAGGAAATACACTCGAGACCAAGCAGAAAGATTTCACTCGGCCCGAACTCGTCTCTAGAGCGGGCAGCGTCGAGCCCGGGCGCAGAAGAGACACTGTGTGGCCCCGGAACTCCGGCGCAGACAGTGGGGAGGCTCTGGGGACTGCTCGGTATTTAGGATCGCTCGGCCCGAGTGGAGAGAATACGGTTTGGGGTGGGGGAGGGGGTCTTTACACTTGCAATGTCTGAAATTAGACTTCTTCAAAAATTACTTTTAAAAAAAAGTACAAAGGCGTTTTCTGAGACACCCCGCAACCCCCAGACCCATTAAACAAAATACAGCTGAGTGCTGAAAGTTCCGGAATGTCCCAGGTTTTCCCGAGCGAGAGAAGCGAGGGGACGGGCGCACCAGGCGAGATGCGGGGCCTGAAGGAGGGGACCGGGCCACAGGGCGCCCGGGACGCCCGCAGCCCCTACGGCTGGAATCAGCCGACGGTGGGGACGGCCAAGGGATTTCGGGAGAAAAAGACCCCGATGCGCGCGAGTCGGGACAGCCGGGACCCCTGCCCGAGTTCCCCTGCTGCCCTCCGGGCCGCTAGGACAGCGGGGTCGGAGACGGAATGGGGCCGTGCAGGGAGGATCCGGCCGCCGTTTCTCCTTTCGCTTCTTCCCCAGCTGAAGTTCCTACCGGAGACCCAAAGGCCGCCAGAAGGACGGCGCGACAGCCGCGCCGTCGGGGGCGTTCCCCGGCGCGCGGGCCGGCCGCCGGGCGCCTGCTGCCCCCTGGCGCCCGTGCCGAGCCTCCCGGCCTCTCCCGGCCTGGGGCGAGGGAAGCTGCCGCGGCGCCCGGAAAGGCCTCCGCGGGCTGGCCCGCCACGGCCCCCGCCTCTGGCAGGCCCGTTGGCGCTGGAACCCTGGGGAGGCCGAAGCGGCTGCGGCAGCGCTCCGGCACCCCCAAATCGCGCGTCCGCAGGGGGAACCAAGGCGGGGGGTCGGAAGGGAGGGTCCCTCACCCCGGGGGGTGGGGGCGAAGGACCCCCGCCCAGGGCGGAGTCGACGTGGAGGGCTCCGTGCCAGGAGAGGGGGAGAGTGGATGAGCGCCCTCCCCCCGAGGGAGGGACCCGGTGGGCTCCGCGCGGAGTCGGGGAGCAGCCCCACGGCCGGGTGGTTGGGGGGGCGGGGCCCCTCTAAGCTCCGCGAAAATGCCCGCGGCGCCGCGGGGACGGGAGCGGGGGGAATGTTCCCGCCCACGCGCAGAGCCGGGGTGGCTTCAGCTCCCGGGGCGGCTGGCGCGCGCGCGCGCGGGGGCGGGGAGCGGAGCCGGGGGGCCGTTTCCGGGGAGCCGGAGGTGGGTGCGGGGCGCGAACGACCTGGGCCCTGCGGCGGAACCCCGCCCGGAGGCTTTCCACTTTCTTTCCAGTCGCTTGTTCTTTGCGGGGGGGTCTTTTCTGAACTACCGAACTTCTTCGCTGGCCGCTAAGCTCAACTCCACCTGAGCGAGGCGCGCCGCGTCAAGACGCACCAAAAAACACCAAGAAAACAAACCCAGAGAGAAAACACACAAAAAGCAGGTCGTGGAGACCGACCACCGTCTGGCCTCTGTAAATGAATCAGCGTCACTTTGCCATGGTTGCCAACCGGCGCCGAGCGGCTCCCCGGGCTGGGCCCTCGGCCCTCCCCGGCCCCCTCGCGGCCGAATCCCATCCACGCCGGTAAAGCGGAGGCCTTGGGGCCGCCAGGGCCGTCCGGCCCCCGGGTATCAGGAGCCTAGCGGCGGCCGCTTCATCTATCTCCATGGCTCGCGGGACGCTTCCCTCCGGCAGATCTCTGAACCCGGACTATTCGGGGCTCAGCGCGCGGCCCGATCTCCGGCAGATCTCTGAGCCCGGACCATTCGGGGCTCAGCGCGCGGCCCCAGTCCTCCCCAGGCCGACCGGCCTTCTGCTCCACCTCCTGGTCTCCGAACCACGGCCGCCCCTGGCGCGGCCGCTCACGGCAGACCCCCGGGGCGGGCGGGCAGGCGGACTGCCGGCTGCGCAAGCCCGCGGGTGTGCAAAGCCGTAGAGTTGCCGTCCGCACCGGGATGGGGGTCTCGAGCGAGCGTGGGAGCGTGTGCGTGCGGGGATTTGGATGCGGGGAGCGCGGCGTGGCCACCGCAGTAGCGGTGGACTCTCCACCCCGGCCGCGTACAGTAGCGCGCGGCGGCGGCGGGGGCGCGCGGGCCAATTCCAGGAGCCCGCGGCACCGAGCCGCGCCCTGCCTGATACCGGAAAGGCCTGTGATTGGCCGGCGGCCGCCCCTATGCAAACGAGCTGAGGGAATGGAATTCCTCGGGCCGGGCTTACAGTAAAAGCACGTTCATTTCCAGGCACTCTCATTCATAGAGCCAGCGGGCGCAGGCGGGACGAGCGCCCCGCGGCCGGACCCAGCCAGGGCACCACGCTGCCCGGCCCTGCGCCGGCAGGCACCTCTTGCTGGGGATACTGGGGTCGCCAGAAGAAAAGTCAATCTTTGCCGTTTTTCCTAGAACCGCGTTGGAACTTCAATTTTGATTTTTGTGTGTGGGGCTTTTTTTGTTGTTGTTTTTTGCCTTTTCCTACTTTTGAATGAACTGGTTTCTTGGCTGGATGGTTCCATTTCTTTCCTGGGTGTGAACTTTTCTCCGGTTGTGTCTTTTGACAACAGCAGGAGAGAGTGCGCCGGGCTTCGTGGCGAGTGGTAAAGTGGCGCGTGTGCGTGGCAGGGTGTGCGTGCTTGGGTAACTCGAGCCGGCCCGTCTGTTGCGATCTTCGCTGCGGAGCCTTTCTCGCCAGGGCTCGCTCCACCTGCTGCGGTTCCGCGGTGAGTGTGGGTAAATTGGCGCGTCCGGGCAGTTCACCCGGCCGGCGCTGGGGCGACGTTGGAGGAAGCTCGTCTCGCTACCGCCCGAGTCGGGGCTGACTCACCGCAGTCGATGTAGACGGCGGCTGGCTTCCGAAGAGTGCGTGCCTGCGTGCGTCTGACTCCGCTGCAGCTCACCTCCCACCAAACCACAGGATCAACCACAAACTTAACCAACATCCCCAAACCCGAGTTCTCAGATGTGGAGAGCTGAACCCTGAGTGTCATCGACTTGGACTTTTTTTTTTTCTAGTTAGCTTTTTCTTTGATAAAGCTTGAATTTTCTGAACTGAGCATTTTGCCAGAATTTATTGAAAACATGACAAGTCCTTCTCGCCCAGCCCTTCAACTACTGAAGCTGATTCTCAAGGCTACTTAGAGAAGAGAAAAAAAAAAAAAAAACCCTGCAGCGAACATTAATGGGTTTCTGTTGTGTTTAAATTCTCTACAGATTGTATTGTAAATATTTTATGAAGTAGAGCATATGTATATGTTTATATATATGTGCACATACATTAGAAGCAGGACCTTTTGGAAGTCTCAGCTCTCGCTTTTGAGGACCGAAGCCTGTTTTGCATGAATAAAAAGTGGCGCCGTATTTGAAGACACTCGTGTATTTTCTTTTGTGTTTGGACTTTAGACAAAACTCACCTGGGGGAAAAAAAAGAACTGACAGGCAGTTAACTACTGGAACTTCCAAATCCCGTATTTGCTGGTCCTTCTGCTCTCCGCATAAATAGTTTAGGAAGTGTATGGGAAATTTTGCCTCCGGGAACCTCTGTAACAGCCAAAGACTGAAACTTCAAACTCTCAAAGCAAGACTCGGAAGAAGATAGGGTTCCTTGGCACTTGACTTTGGATTCTGGTCGCCCACTTTTTAAAGCACTAAGCGGTCGGTGCCCGGGTCTGAGCTGAGGCCGATCGTCAGAACTAGAACTTTTTCCGCCTTCCTGGACTGTTCGTAACTTAGTCTCCCCCTCTCCCCCAGCCACCTTGCATCAATAAAGGCCCCTGAACTTGTATGTTGGTCTCCCGGGAGCTGCTTGCTGAAGATCCGCGCTCCTGTCGCCGTCTGGTAGGAGCTGTTTGCAGGGTCCTAACTCAATCGGCTTGTTGTGATGCGTATCCCCGTAGATGCCAGCACGAGCCGCCGCTTCACGCCGCCTTCCACCGCGCTGAGCCCGGGCAAGATGAGCGAGGCGCTGCCGCTGGGCGCCCCGGACGCCGGCGCCGCCCTGGCCGGCAAGCTGAGGAGCGGCGACCGCAGCATGGTGGAGGTGCTGGCCGACCACCCGGGCGAGCTGGTGCGCACCGACAGCCCCAACTTCCTCTGCTCCGTGCTGCCCACGCACTGGCGCTGCAACAAGACCCTGCCCATCGCTTTCAAGGTAACTCGGGCCGGAGCGGGTGGCGGGAGGACACGCAGAGGCCGGTCGATCGCCGGGGCGATCGGGGAGGGCCGCGGCCAGGCAGGCGGGGCCGGGTTCTAGAAAGGGGCCGGCGCGGAGGCCCGTGGTCCATCCCTCTGCGCTCCGCACAAGGGGGATGCTGCGTTGCCGTGGCGACCCTTGGTCGCGGAGGTGGAGGGGCCCGCCTCAGTCGGCCGCCGCGGCCTCCGGGGGTGGTTGAAAAAAATCAGGGTGCCCCCCCACCCCAAAGACGTCCACGGAGGGCCGGCGGGACCTCCTCCCCGGGCAGCGGTTCTTCGCTTTGATCCAAAGTAGGAAAAGTTATAACCCGGCCGGAACCCAGTCTCCCTTGCTCCCTGCTTGACAACCAAGCCCTTCTGAAGAAGGCTTCAGGAAATAAAATCGAGATACTTTGATATACCTTTGGGTCCAGGAGAAGAAACTAGACCAGGAAAACTCTCAGGGCTTTTCCCCACATCCACCCCCTCTTTAACAGCACTGTAGGAATTAGCAAGTTCAAAGTCCACGGCGGACTCTGTTAAGTTTGCAAAAGTTTTCGGAGGAGTGTTTTTTTGTTTGTTTGTTTTGTTTTGAGCTTCTAGCCTATTCCTGCCAGAAGCCGCAAGTAGCGAATCCTGTTTCTTTTCCGGGAACCCTCCTGAACGTTATCGCCGGCTCTCCTAGCTTGAAGCCCCGGGTCAGCGAAAGGAGGCAAGGCGGGCTGCCGTGAGCCTGGGGGTCTCATCCGCCTGCTTTGCTGTTTGAGGGGAGGGGGCGGCGACGTGGACCGGGAAACTTCAGCCTTTTAGTTTCAGAGGTCCGCGTTCACTTTTCACCCCTCATCTAGCGCTAGCTTTCAGCTGTTTTGAAAAACCTTGGCCTTCAAAGGGGCTATATAAACAACCCCGGGCGTTTTTAAACAACCGTCCCACCACCCCTGGCAGCAAACAGAAGACGTTTCATTTCGGCGGTAGGGATTCAGTTCTTCTGTCTTGGGTGGGTTGAAGAAGGGGCAGCTTTTTAAATATAATCAGTGCTGTCATTTCCTGTTCTTTTAAAGGGGCTAGGGCAGGCAAGGGGTGGGGTCTGGAAGCTATAAAGATCAGCTACTCTTTTTTTGTTTTTTGTTTTTTGTTTTTAATCTGGCTACATAATTGTCCTTTTTAAGGGGAGATTAAAGTTTTTTATGGTTCCAAGCCTGGGATGGATTTTTAGCTAGTTACAATGAATAAATGTTCACTTTTAAAAATACAAGTTAACTATCGGAGTTCTTTTTTTTTTTAAGCTTTAGACACCTTCCAAACTTAGATTATGGTTTTTAAAACAAACAAAAAGTGCAGTTGGCTGCCTGTATAGAATTGCTTCAGTTTTCTGAAAGAAGAGTTTTTGAGGACGGTAGAAAGGGGGATGAGTCTGAGCAGCTGCTGGACTCTTTCCTGTCTCTTCCTCCACGTCTGTAGATTTGGGTTGGGAGCCCATTTCAATTTTAAATCACTCTAATCCCTGTATATAAACAGACTCAGAGGGCAGACCTCCTGGGCTCTGAAAGGGATGGGCCCTGGGTCACTTTCAGATAAGTGCAGACGGGAGGAGACAGGCTGATAATCAACCTGAGGGTCCTTTAAACCAGGTGCCCTGACACACCAAGGGAGTGTGGGTTCTCAGAGATCTGTGGCTTCCTTTGGGCTAACTCATAGACTCCTCTGCCTCTCTCCTCCTAGGCTAGGGAACCCACACCCCAAATACTAACTGATTAAGAAAGAATCTGAAGGACTTAGAGCCAGGTCATTTCTCAAGCCACCCCATGAAAGTATTTCCTTCTAAAAGAATGGAAAAAAAGAACAAAATCACATAAATTGCTTTCCTGAGCCATCAGGGAATTCCCTTTAGCAGAAATCTTAATAACCCTAGAGGTTTCCTTTTTAAAATGACATTCGACAATTCACTGTTTTAAAAAGATCTGTTTTACTGAGTGATAGTTTCTAGGTTCAAGATCAAGGTACAAACCTCTTGAAAAAAGTTCAAGTGGGTCTTGAGAACTTTGGGTCAAAGGAAAGGACGGTAGAGGAATCAGACCGCTTGGTGAACAATCTGTCGCCACTCCAGTCCCCAGGAAGAGGGGCCTCTTTCTGAAGGAGACCTGCTCACCGCCTAACGGAAGGAGCAGGCAAAATTGCCAGTGAGGGAAGAAGCACAAAGATTAGGAATAAAGCAAGCTAAACTTTTGTGCCCCTGACTCCACTCTGTACTCATCTTACACTACCTGCCTCCCAAGCACTTTCTATAGAAATTACTACTTTAGAATTTGGATTTTACATAAGCCCCAGACAACCTCTTTAAGAAGGTAAGCACTAAAGAATTACTAAGATCCCCCATACTAAGGAGGAGAAAATGTAAAACCATGATAAAGTCTGCCGGTGTTGATGAGAAGGAGCACTGAAATGATTTTTTAGGCATCTTCTGAATATGTGTAAATCCTCCGCTTTAATCTTTGAAACTAAAGGGAGATTTAAAGGTGTGCGTTTTCCTTAAAATAGATGAAAACCATCCTAATTGCTTATCCTGGGCCCTCAAATATCCCCCACGCCCCCGTGTCTCTGGTGAAATTGCCTTTATTTTTTAGCCTAGGAAAGATCCCTATTTTACTATAGAGAAAAGTCTTAAATTTGCTACCTGTTACTCATTAGTTATTGAAGCAGTCAAAAAGCTGTTTGGATGACTTAGGATATGTTTTGTAAGACTGTAATATTAAAGTTTATTTAGGCCCTGGTACACCAGAGTCCGAAGGCATAAACATGCCTTCAGCAAGTTGAGAGGCCTTGGTCGCTGATAGTAATATTCTTTTCATAAGAAAGAAAGAAGTAACGTTTCTGTCGGTGAGATCATGATCTCCTAGCTATGCAGTAAATGTCATCTCAGCTGAATGCTAAGTTCCACCCCACAGCTTTCTTTAAAATACTGGAAATTTAAGGAATTTCGAATAAATTAATTGTGACTATAATTTCAGCCTAACTAGAGTTGGTTTAAAATGCCAGTTTCAGCCGTGAACAGGCTGACCAACAGCAGTGTGGGGAGGTTCTGTAATATAGAAGAGGCTTGATATTTTGCCCAACTTCCTGATACTTTAAAAACAGAGAAGTTAAAAAAAAAAAAAAAAAGAGAGATATGCTTTGGCCAGCAAGTCTCTTCTTGTCTGTTTGGTCTGTGTTAAAATGTAAACGTTTGTGTTTCCTTACCTATTGTTTATAGCTTTTCATTCCAGTTGTTTCTTTTATTCTGTTTGAAGTTAGATTTTTTTAAAAAATTCTCTGCATATTGCCTATCAGTGATAAAATCTATATCAAATTAACAGAAATGTTAGTTTTTAAGTTAAAAATATTTTTCTAGCCTAAGAATGCTTGCTAACAATTAGATGATATTCTTTATTAATGTAATTTTCCTGGATTTACTTCTTTCCCTCCTCCTCACCAAGAAAAATTATAAAAGGCCAAGTAAATGATCTTTGAGCCCCGAAATATCTTGGACTCCTGCTTCAGTTGCAAAAAGGGAAGGGGAGTTAAACTCCTAATTTCTTTAGTCTTAAATTCCAGCATCAACAACTTTTTCTTGTTTAGCCACCGTGATGATTTTACTCTCTATTTCTATTTGGTGACTGCCTCATGAATTTGCCACATTACTGATGAGGATCGTTTTGAAAAGATGAGTGAGGCACAGACATGGAGCACTGTGAGAGGGGCCAGTGGGAGGAGGGTGATTTAGAATACATCTTGGTAGTTATAAAACAAGATTTATTTATTTTAAGCTCTTTAACCAACAATGAGTTATTCAGTTTGAAAACCATGCAGTTGATCCGGTCCCTGTATACTTACTAACTGAATGTGGAATTAAAACAGAGACGCCAGGTCATCACAGGGAGATGGGGATGAGGAAGTAAAAATATGTTTTCAAGGAGGGCATTTCAACATTGTGAGCTAAATTTACAGAGGGAAGTGAAAACAGTTGGGGGGGTGGGGGAACAGACTGGGGGTGGATTTTTAAGAGACTGAAAAGAGCAGAATAAAGCAAGTCTGTTTCATGGCAACAGAAAAAATGATAACAATAACTACATAACTGATCAAGGAGATTTATTTCAATAATGGTTTTGAAACAAAAGGGAATTGTCATATTACTGCTCTTAATTTAAGAGCAACAAACATATTTATAATGGGCTCTAACTACCTAATTAGAGGGTGCTTGGGGAAGAAATAGCTGTGCTTTTAAATTTCCTTTATAGAAAACACGTCCAACATTTGGATGGAAAGGACTGGAAAGAAAGATAAGAGTGCAAGTTGGATAAAATAGGTGAGGAACATGCCTGCTTATTGCTATAAGAATTGAATCTCCTGGTACAGTCCTGGGGTCGGAAGGATGCCTACCTCTTATAGTGAGTTGGTTCAATTTCCCCGTCATAGTCCGTAGATTCCAACAGCTGAAGCAACCTAGGAAATAAAAGGAATAAATGGTTAACTGGATGACACGAGAAAGGGTGATGACTAAGCAGGCAATGAAGATGAGAATTTAGAGAAACATGGCTTTTCTATCATACAAGGGGCCTATGGCAGCCTTATATGCAGACAGAAAAATAAGACTGAAATATAGGTGTTACCCCTGCAAAAAATATATATCAAATATTAGGTAAAAATAGGGAAGTGGAAAACAGGAGGAGGAATAGCCACTGTGGAATGCTTTATTAACACAACTCAAAAATAAAACTCTATACCCATGAGCAATTACTCCTAATTCCTCCCTCCCTCAGCCCCTGCCAACCAGTCATCTATTTTCTCTCTCTGTGGATGTGCATATTTTAGATTATTCATATAAATGGAATCATACAATGTGTGAACCTCTTATGAATGGCTTCTTTCACTTAATATACTGTTTCAAAGGTTCATCTATGTTGTAGCATGTATCAGAACTTTATTCCCTTTTGTGATGAGATAATATCAATTGTATGCATCTATCACAGTTTTAAAGTCCATTATCAGTTTATGGACATTGGGTTATGGAATGCTTTATTTTTGTTATAAATTTATTGTAATAAGTTTAAAAAATATAAAATAAAATAAACCCCCAAAGCGATTATAAAATCGGAATGATGCGCACACTTTGCACCAGTGACTGAGAAAATACCAGTCAGGGGTATTGCAGGTGACAGGAGATGGTGATCACGAGTAGAACTTGTTTTGATTTGAAATTCTACGACCACTTTAAAAAACCCAAACAGTGGAAATAGTTTTGACCAAGAAAATAGTTTTTAGAAGGATCAAATGATGACCAAGAAATGGACACTCCTACATGAAGCATCGTTGGCCATGCGTTTTGCCTTAGAATTCCTGCTTTTTAAAAAATCACCTAAGTGTCAAAATATTTACTTACTAGTTTACTTTAATAGTCCTGATAGGAAATCCATTTCCATTCAGGTACACTGAAGGAATTCTTCTTCACCATCTGGGTTTGGAAAAAATCTCAGTCATCTATCAGGTCCACATTAAGACATCTCTGGGACTCACAGAATAAAACTGTGTTGAAATTTTGCTCTGAAATCAGAGCAGCACATCAAAGTGAGCACCCCTCTTCTCTCAGGTCTATTGATTTTGTAGTTAGTATTAAGCCAAGGGTATGTTTCTGATTTTTCTCTCTTGCATACCACAATTCAGTGCTAATGAAAAGCAAGATCTTAGAATCAAGTAGGGACAATAAGGATGAACTAATTGTGAAGGGAGAGCATAAGTCATTCACGAATAGTCAGCCATTCAGTGGTAGCAATCGGATTTAATTTTAGCAGAAGTTTAAACACCTCAAAGGCAAAATCAACCCTCTTAGGCCTATTGATGGAGGTCTGGACAAATGAAAAATGGGTTAGGCTATAAACCTACAAAAAAACAAGACATTGTGTTTCTCAAATATGGAGAACTAAGAAGAGATGATTATATTCATGAGAAGCCATAGCTTTTCAAGTCCCTTGCTATAGTGAGCCTTATTCCAGCCGTGTCGTGTGACCTTACGTGGCTTTATTAGGTGAATGTTTTATGATTTAAATATCTATAATTTTACACATGTGTGTGTGTGCACGCACGTGTACTTAGTCACGCAGTTGTGTCCAACTCTTTGCCACCCCGTAGACTGTAGTCCGCCAGGCTCCTCTGTCTGTGGAATCCTGCAGACAAGAATACTGGAGTGGGTTGCCATTCCCCTGTCCAGGGGATCTTCCCCACTCAGGGATCAAACCTGGGTCTCCTGCATTGCAGGCAGATTCTTTACCGTCTGAGCCACCAAGGGAGCCCATAATTTTACATAGTGGAATTTAAAGTAAATCTTCCCATTAATAGCTTTTCTGTTGTTTTAATTTATGGTATAAGTTATGACTTAGTTTGCTATTCCTTTGCAAACTAAAAAGCGTCACAATATCCATTCAGTTTTAGAACAGTTACACAAATGACGTCAAAGTTTCTAACATGCCTGATATCTGTGTTTGTCCCTGGATGGGTGTTTAGGTGGTGGCTCTGGGGGACGTTCCGGATGGCACTCTGGTGACCGTGATGGCAGGCAATGATGAAAACTACTCAGCCGAACTGAGAAATGCAACCGCGGCCATGAAAAATCAAGTTGCGAGATTCAATGACCTCAGGTTTGTCGGCCGGAGTGGAAGAGGTATGTATCTGTCAGAACTGAACTTGAAACACCCAGTATTTACATGGCAACAAACCCAGATTTCAAAACATCTAGAAGATTCTGTGATGGGATTCCCTAGAAGCATAGTCATTTCTTCCCATTATTGTTGCTACGTCAACCTTGTAGTTTAATATTTAATGTTTCTAACAGAATCTGGCTTTACATTATTGCTTTCTGTTATTGAATTGGTTTAAGACTGATTTGAAGCAGATAAGACATGAATCCCAAACTCCAAGAAAACCTCTCAGATCTTTACTAAAATATAAAAATATAAAACGTACCATCATGGAAACTAAGATTATATGACTGGGGTTGTCTTATACAACTCTTTGATAATTTTCAGAAATCTCTTTACTGGAAGCCTTTAACTTCTGGTCCATGTGCTATAAGTGACTGAGTTTCAAATGATCACTTCTAGTAATTTTAAGGGTTATATAGTAGATGATTATTGCAATATGTTTTAAGGAAGCACTTTTTATGGTGAAATATGAAGAAATAGTAACATTCTGATTCGGTAACGTGACTTTCCTATATATAATTTGGATGGCTTATTATTGTCTGTAGGGAGGGACTGGGCCCAGTTAATATTTTAGGTACTAATAATACCAAAGATTGAACTCTCCCAAGAAATTGTTATATCAATGCGTTTCTATGTGTAGTTTTCTTTCTCCATACATGTTATCAAAGTATTCAACCAGAAAGCGAAATCTTGGCTTGTTGTAATCTCCTCTGGTTTCCAATCATTTTCAAATATGGTGTTTTCTTTATATTGTAAGAATCTTGGTCCTGTTTTATAAATAGTAGTAAGTACTATTTGTTTACTTGAAGGAGGTAAGATAGTTTGTTTTGAAAATTGCATTTTTGTGATGCAGTGTTGAATAAGCTTATGAATAAAAGTTATTTTGAGTATGACAAAAAATGACATAGAAAATACCTAAATAACAGGAGATGACTTGTATTGTAAAAAAGTAAAAGTACAACCAACAGACATTAACAGAAGAGTAATCATTAGTCTTTATAAAAGCATTTGAAAATCTGTGTTCTTGGGGAATTTGATTAGTCAGAGAGGAAAGGGAGTAAAGGAAAGTTGCTTTTTTTGGCTGTTGTGTTTGTATTATCCTAGCTGTCTGGGGAATTTTCAAAACAGAATCATAGGTGGAGAAAAAATTTTTAAACTTATAACATGGTTGAAAATGTTTCTTTATAGCACTATGTTAATAGTAGGCTAAGGCCAATAAAATTTTATCCACTTATTGAAAGCATGAATGATGCTATAAGGTATAAAGGCACAAGTTAGCCTATGGGTTCACTTGTTATATTAAAAGTCCTCACCTTTCAGTAAATGGAATTCCCATTGTGATTCAGAGACACATGTTTAGAAAACATCTCGGAGGTTTCAGATGAGTAGCTGGCAGAGTGGGTGAGGCCCGACCGTCTGGTCCAGTAACCATCTCAATTCAGCTCCTATGGATTTCTGTTCCTAAGAAGCCATAGCTGAGGATCACTGGGTTGTGTTTCCAGAGGAAGCAGCGTTGCATCGTGTGCATCTGTGTAGGTCTATGGGTCGGGTTTTGGTTACGGAAGTTCTGGGAACTCTTTAGTGGTCCATGACAGTTTCCCCTAAGAAGCACAGTAAGTGGCCTTCCAGCAAGGGCCAGGAGGTTGGTGATGATAAAGAAGGACATGCTGAAAGCAGCCTGCTTTCTGTGCTGGTGTTTCTCATCCCTCGCTGGCCGTGTCTGGTTTGAGTGGGTGACTAAGAGGAGCTTGTGTTGACTTGGGGAACAGTGAACTGTTTCCCCAAGGTGTGGATTGTTTGCGTTTGGGTGCCTGATTAGTGCCAGGATGCCTTTGCGTCTGCAGAGTGCAATAGCTGCAACCAAGGCTGGGCTGTCTTCTGATGGTGTGGAATGAGATACTTAATTGAAATGCTGCAAATATGAACAGTATCTGTTTTGACCAGGCTCTGTTTCCCATGTGTGCTAATAAGTGATCCAAAACAGAGGAACCCCAAAATAAATGTTGTACCCAATTAGTTACCATGTATATTGTTGGTCTTGAGTGATTTTTTTTTTTTTTTTTTGGTTAAGTACTGCGAGACAAAATGAGCCGTCAGAGTTTGACTCTGACTGGTAATTTCTCTCCATAGTCGTAAAACACAACTTTATTTTACTCTTTCAAGTCTTGAGTGTCAACCTCAGCGCCTGCCAGGTTTTTTCTTTTTCGTTTTTTGCAATTTGCTTCTCATTATGAAGGGAGCAGATGACTTTCCCTCATTTTAACAATTAGCCTTAATCTCCCTTGCGGAATCTCGTCCTTTTAAAAGTTTCATAATGTTTTATTAAGTGATCTTAAGACTATCCCTGTTTCGTTTTCTGGTTTTGAAAATGTGTCTGAAAATACGACACTGGCATCAACACAGCACACTGGGGCCGGGAAGGTCCTGGCTGCTGGCTCATCCGAACGTTTCAATGCCAGTTTCCCATTCTGTCCAAAGTCAGTGGTCTGATGAGTTTTCTCAAAGTGGCCTGATACTCCATTCTAAATAAAGGGTAGAAAAAGAAACTCCCTTTTCTCTTCTCAGCCTTCAGTCCCTCGGGATTGTAAAAGCTCCTAGAAATTGTCAGAGGAGGAACGTGGAAGGGTTTTTCTCTCTTCCACAAAACCGATCTGCCTGGGCACTGGCTCATGTCCAGGATCGCGGTTCCTAACCTCGGGTTCAGCCTGCAACTGGGAAAACCTGCCCATCCGGCTTTGAAGGCCTTGCTGACAACACTGGCCCCTAAAAAATACTGGTGAAGGCTGCAGCAGTCTGGGCCTTCCTCCTTCCTTTCTTTTCTGTCCCTGACAACTTAAATCTCTCCTTCAGGGCTATCTCACCCTGGGAATTTTCTCCGTTTGATTCAGTATCACCATATAGATCCACCATTCCTTTACAATGGAAGGCGAGATAGCAGATCCCAGGAGAGGGGGTTGTTGTTCAGAACCATTCACAAAGACACACGTCCTGGGGACTGCCCCTTACCTCCAGAAAAAGCCAAATTCAGGATCGGGGGAACTCTTCTTTGGTGACGTTCATTAGCGGCAGCTCACAGAGCTTCCATCCACCATTGAAGCGGGTGCTACAGATTACTTTCAGTTATAAGAAATTGTATCATGGCTGCAGTCGAGAGACGTTGGAGAAATTTTAGCAATGAAATCCGTGAGTGCTTCCGCCCCTGTTGGAGTACTTAATCAGTTGGAAAGGAATCGATCAATCAGGGGATAGGGCCTTAGTTAATTCATTTTAGAACCAAAGAGGAAATCTACCAGACCATATTATCTGTCGTATCGTAAATGGGGGAAGAGAATCCACTGCAGATTTCCTTCTGATTTTTCTAAGACTGAGATTTTTAATTTTCGGCACATCAGGAATCATTTTGAAAATCCTTGAAAGCCTTCTCCCCAGGGTGGAAAAAAAATGCATGTATGCACTTACACACCCAGTTTCTTGTACAGTTGCAGTTTCAGGGCTGCTGAAGCTCCTTTATGGAACTTCTGGGGATCCCATGGACCCGCTCTCCCCCAAGGCAAGAATCTGTGAACCTGGAAATTTGCCTCGACCGTGGAGGACCAGCCTAGCATGGTGCTGCACATTATAGATAATGAGGAAATAAATGAACACATGAATTAGACATTCTTCTTGCACCCTGTGCTGTTTTGGTTACACCTGCTTTTATTGTATCCAGGGCCTAGTTTGCATAATTAGGAAAGGAGATCCCATTCAAACTGCTGGTCCAGACCTTTAAGATGCCAGCAGGTATACACACAGATGGTCCCTTGCAAAGGAGAAGGGCTTATTTTGTCATTAAAGGGGCAACCTCCTCTCTAGTGACTGCCTGGCCACCTGGCTACAGACCTGCAACTCGAATTCCCAACCAGCCCAGCAAGGCACATGGTCCCCCACCGTCCATTAGGACCGGGTTTAATTTCTTGGTGTAAATTTCTGTTTATGTTGACCTCCATGGCAACTTTAATCTTGCCCACTTTCCAAATAGTACCCTTCTCAACCCTTTTATAAAATGAAATTCCTTCCTCACGTTCTTGCTGTGAACGACTTCCCAGACATAATATTTACCCTGCCACAATCAGGGTGATTGTACATTTGTGTAATGTTTGTTACTGAAGGCATTTTCATTCTTAAGGTATTTGACTATATTTGGAGAACAGGATGGGGAGACTGCCTTTCAGATGAGTGAAAGACTGGTTGAAGGAAAGCTACACGCAGAAAAGGATAGAGTGTACCGGTATTCTAAACAAAGCGAGATGTGTCTTTATGGAGTGGTTATTACTAAGAAATGGTCTGGATGACTCACGATATTATCATCGGATCCCAGTCATTCTCTGTTTTATCACAGACTCATATAATAGGGGGAGGAAAATTCATCTGACAATCCCAGCGTTGTTTCGTGGATAACATTCAAGATAATGAGTTGGCAGTCAGACCTCCTGGAGAGAATACAAGGAAAAGACATGGGTTGTATTAAAATCACCTCTCCCGTTACCACCCCCGTCCCCTGGGTTTTTTTTCTGATTGCTATAGATCTACCTTTTAAAATGATAATATACACATTGAAATCTGTTTTCAGACTTCCAGGTGGGCAAATACGGTTAGGAAAAGACTCAGCCTCTGATACGTGCAGCCTCAGGCAGCCCAAGCAAATAACGCCTTTTGATTGCAGGTTGAAAGCTGGTATTCATGATCTGATGCAGAGTTCACCTCTAGAGATCAGTTTTCTCATTCTGTTTCACATTTGCCCATAAAAGAGTAACAACATTTCCTCAAAGCAAGTTGCTGCCCACAAGCACACCCCCCCCCGCGCCCCCGACCACCACCCAGCAGTTCCTGTCCCACTTGGCGTCTTGGCAAAGGCCAAGGAGGAGAGCTTTCTTGAAAAATGCTTGTGCCTGGAACACGCAGCTTCGCAATTGATCTCTTC